TACCTTCAACACGCCTGATCTGCCTAAGAATATTAAGGCCGGATATCTAAGTATTCCTGTAAGACCTTATATTCCAAACCCTATGCGATGTTTCCAATGCCAGCGTTTCGGCCATTCTAAGACGTCTTGTCGTGGCAGCCTCACATGCGCCCGATGATCACAGATTGGCCACGATTCTGAAAATTGTACCGCTGCGCCTCTTTGTATAAATTGCAAGGTTCAGCACCCAGCATTTTCACGCCTCTGCCCAAAATGGAATTTCGAAAAAGAAGTGCAGACCGCAAAGGTTACGAGGAACATCTCATATGCCGAAGCCAGAAGATTAGTTCAAAGCACACAGCTACGACCAAATACATCTTAGGCCAATGCGCTTAAAAGATCTCGCACAGTTGCCACCCAAACATCAGTTAGTATGCAGACTCCACCAAACAAAATTCAACAGACTACAAACAACAGGAAGAAAGAAAACCCAAACCATACAATGCACAAATAAAGAAATAGTAATTCAAAGCAAACCCAAAACTACCACACAAAAAGTATGAAAAATAAAAAGAGAAGTTCCAGCAATAGCCTCTCTTGATGGAATGGTTTCTGAATCTGCGGATTCATACAGTATAGGAATAAGAAGAGTGGTCTGGAAGTTTCCCAAGGCGTCTACTTCCACGAAAAACCAAACAAGAGCACAGAAAGAACAAAAACTATTCATAATGGCCACCCTCGTATCATGGAACTGTCGCGGTTTCCACCGAAATCTGCTCGACATCAAAGCTATAATCAACGTTCATCAACCTGTATGCTTCGCAATACAGGAAACAAATCAAAAACCGGAACAAGCAAAACTTCGGAGGTTTTCTTTCGTCAGGAAGGATAACCTTGCAGGTGAGCGTGCCAGTGGAGGTACAGGTCTCCTCACCTCACTGGACTACCGCTCAAGTTCCTTCCCTTTGACGACACCCCTCCAAGTTGTCGCTACTCAAACAAATCTTGATATTGTTGTTACAGTCATTTCCCTGTATTTGCCTCCAAATGAGCATATTGATCAGTAGGATTTAAATGGCCTTATAAAGCATACTGTACAACTGCCTGAGCCTTTCATCATAATAGGTGATTTTAACGGCCATAGTAAGCTCTGGGGTAGTAAAGATACAAATTGCCGAGGAAGACAAATTGAGCGATTGATTGAAGATCATAGCCTTTGTCTCCTAAATGATGGGCAGGATACTTACTTCCATGAACCTTCAAAGACATTCCACGCTCTTGATCTAGCCATCTGTTCACCATCTCTATTGCCATTTTGCACCTTTAGTGTCAGAAGTGATCTGTACAACAGCGATCATTATCCTATTGTCTCGTCTCTTGCAAGAAGAGGAGCAAACCTCATGTCGAGAATCCCTCGGTTCATACTGGATAGGGCAGACTGCGAACTCTTCTCTTCCTCTGCAGAGCTCACACGGAACATGGTAGAAGATGTGCTTATCGATGATGCAGTGGAAGCAGTTACAACTGCTATTACTCAGGCAGCTATGCTTTCGATTCCTAGAACTTCAGGAAAACTTCTAAAATATTCGAAACCCTGGTGGAATCGCGACTATCATGAAGCACTGAAAAAACAGAAAAAAGCATGGGGTATTTTCGTAGATATCCTACTCTGCGAAACCTCATAGCATTTAAAAGAGCCAAAGCAAATGTACGAAAGGTAAGGTGGTGGTGGTGGTGGTAGATTTATGGCGCAAAGCTCTATAGGCCATATGTGCCAAACGCAGGATTCGTATTTCGCATAGAAAGTATAAAAGAAAAAATCTAAAGCAACAGCACACTTTTAAAAATGGAGGCAAGTAAAAAGATGGTGAAATGGTGGGATGAAAATGTTGATTATGATTCTGATAATGAAATATGCAATATAGATATATAATCTTTAAATATCTGATTCATTAAAATTCTAACAAAAAATCTCAAGACAAAATCAAATTAAATAATAGAAACCTGTTTCTTTCAGGTAGTCAAACAAATTGGTATTGACCTCTCTTCCGATTAAACGGTCGAGAGGCAAGTCGCAGCTATTAAAATACTTCTCACGAAGACTATTAAAATATGGACATTCAATTAAAATGTGATATACTGAGAGACAAACATCACAGTTTGCACAAACAGGCTCGTTTTCAGCTTTCAAAATGTAGTTATGTGTTACTCTAGTGTGACCAATTCTAAGGCGAGTTAAAAGAACTTGTTCCTTACGATTGCAAGTAGTGTGCCAATGCTCTATTTTAGCCTTCACCCTTCTCAACTTGTTATGTATCTGAATGTCCCAAAGTTGTTGCCATTTATATCTGATCTTCCCTTTGATAACACACAGATATCTCTAAAAGGGATGAGGCGGCCAGACGTTTCAACAGCAGATTTTGCTGTGATGTCTGCCAGCTCATTGCCTTTTATTCCTGCATGTCCAGGGACCCAGCAGTACAGAATTTCACGAGCATGCCGTTCTTCTCGCATCAAGCACGTTTCTTCTTCTCGTTGCCAGATTTTCCCCTCTCCTTTCAGATAAACTGTTTATTCATACGAGCATGCCGTCCTCGCATCAAGCACGCTTCTTCTTTCCGTTGCCAGATTTTCTTCTCTCTCCTTTCAGCTATAAGTCTGTTCTTCCGGCAGGTTTGGTCTGTAGCATAGAGTATGTGCATGACACGCCCCTGCCAAGAATGAAATTTGTCCTTTCTTTGGGACGTATTTCATTAATCAATATCCAAGCAAATTTTCTGTACATTACTTTTACACAATACCAACCTCGTACAGTATTAAATAAAACAAAACAGAACAAGCAATAAATTATTACAATCATACAAATAAACAAAGAAAAAAAAAAAAACAATCAAATTATATTAATCATATCATATTTGATCCAGACGTGAGAGTGCATCTGCACTTTGGTGCTGGATCCCTGGCCTATGACTAATCCGTAAGTTCCATTTCTGCAATGCCAGAGCCCACCTCGTCAATTTGGGACTTCGAGGAGTAGTTTCATTCAAATATCTGAGAGGGTTGTGATCCGTTATAATTTCTACCTGAGCCCCATAGATCCATTTATCAAATTTATTCAGGCCAGCCAAATAAGACTGCCCAAGCTTCCTTCTCAATGCTTGCCCAATTTCTCTGAGTTTGAGAAAGCTTTTGACTTGCAAATGCAATAGGACAATAGTTACCACTCTCGTCTATCTGGGTTAAACAGCAACCTACCGCCAAATTGGATGCATCACAATGGATCTGAAATGGCTTTCCTATATTTGGTGTGGCCAGAGATGTCACTTGGCACAAAGTATCCTTTAATTTGTTAAAAGCATTCTGTTCCAACTCCCCCCATAGAACAATATTGGCTTGCCTCTTCTTCGTCAACTCTGTCAATGGTGCCGATATTTCTGCGTAACTTGGGAATATAAGATCGATAAAATCCCATTAATCCTAAAACCGATCTCACATCTTTTTTTGTGACTGGCCTGACGAGTTTTCTAATTGCTTTGACCCTTTCTTCATCAGGACCATGCTTGCCTCCTCCAATTATATGCCCCAAATATTTGATTTTTTTAGCTGCAAAAGTACATTTGTCCAAACGTACAGAAAATCCTAATTTTTCTAAAGTTTCCAGAACCAGAGAAATGTGTTTCAAGTGTTCCTCAAATGTTTTCGAGAAAATCACCACATCATCTATATATGCCTGAGCATAATCACTATGACTCTGCAAAGCACAATTCATTTCCTTCTGGAATGTCCCCGAGGCTCCTGATAAGCCGAAAGGCATTGTTCTCCACTGGTACACTCCATTACATGTTGCAAATGCAGTCAAAGGTTTGCTCTTTTCATCCATTCGGATTTGCCAATACCCTTTTCGAAGGTCGATGCTTGTCAGCCAGTTTGCTGCACCCGCCACAAAAATCAATTCCTGCATGTCTTTCATGGGAAATGTTGGAGTTTTCGTTACAGCATTCAATGATCTAAAATCTATACACATTCTAACTGTAGCATCTTTTTTCGCCACACAAACTATAGGATGAGCAATTTCTGACTCAGAAGGTTCAATTAATCCTAATTCTAGCAACTCACGTATCTGCTCATCTACTGCTTTGCGGTATGCCATGGGTATTCCATAGCAGTGGGGTTTCTTCCTAATAGCAGTAGGAATAAGTTCGATCTTGTGTGTACCTACTCGTGCTGGTTGCACTGGACGTGTAAATAATGTTTGATATTTCCTCAGTAGCCCTAAAAGTTTACTCCTTTGGACTGAATCTAAATTAGACATTTCTAATCCTTCCAGAGATTCAGAAAAACTCTTTTCCTCCCTTGTTGACAGGTATAGATTCAATTTCCCCAAACTCTTCTTCCCCCTCCAAGATAACATTTACTGCTTGGGATCTAACTACATAAGGTCTAATCTTATTCTGATGAACATGTCTTTTGGTTCCATCGGGCATTTGTACTACAAATGAGTGAGAACTTCTCTGTTCCAATATATTTGCAGGACCCTGCCACCTAGCATAAAGCTTGTTATTAGAATCGGGAATCAAGACTATCACCTTATCTCCCACCTTAAATGTTTTTATGGTAGACCTTAAATTATGATAGTGTGCTGTCCTCTCTTGTTGAATTTTAGCTGTGAGCTTTGCCTGCTCCGCTGCCTTCTCAAACCTAGCCTTTAGATTTTGTAAATATGTATAAACAGGAGTTGCATCTAATTGTAAATTTTCATGTTTCCCTGTCCATGATGATTTTAATATCGACAGAGGTCCCTGAGGTGTCCTGCCGTACATGAGTTGAAATGGAGCCACCCCAGTTGTTGAGTTGGGTACTTCTCTATGGGCCCACAATAAATACATAAGGAATTTGCAAATGCCACCCTCTACCTTCTTCTCTGATGACATGATGCAACATTCTTTTTAAAGTACCATTAAACCGTTCAACTAATCCATTAGCTTGAGGATATCCAGGGGTCGAAAACTTAGGACTGGCCCCTATTCGTCTCTCTCAAATTCTTGAGTCAAATCTGCTTTAAAATTTGTTCCATTGTCACATGCAATTACATTTGGAATACCCGTTCTTGAAAAAATATGTAATAACTCCTCACAAGTCGACTTGGCGGAGAGGCTAGTTAGAGGTATTGCTTCTGCCCATCTGGTATGCTGATCAACTAAGCATAATATATACTTATGACCCTTAGAACTGGGAGGATCAATCGGACCTATCACATCAATGTTTACAATTTGGAAGGGCAGATCTGGCCTCGTTACTGGGGTGATTGGTGTCCTATCAACAGTTTTAATTGGTCTAGTCAACTGGCACTCTTTACATGCCTCGCAAAATTTCTGAACGTCTAACCTCAGACCTTCCCAATAAAAAGAGTATCTAATTCTCTCCACAGTTTTCTTTACCCCCATGTGGCCACTAAACACCGAGCAATGTGCTAACTGCAAGACTTCCTCCCTTCGACTCTTAGGTACAACTAATTGCCCCACACTTTCCCCAAGAATTTTGTCCTTATGAAAGAGAAAGTTATCCACTGTATAATAATTCCCCTTTCCTTTCTGAGCATTCTCCCATGCTCCTACCAGAGATTCACAAGTCTCCTGCTCTCTTCTAAATACATCCGCTGTACATAGTCTTCCTGGCTGAGGTTCTTGGCTTTCACTTGATTCCACCTTCCCTTTCTCATTGAGATTCCTTCCCATACTAGCGTTTCCTTCTAGTTTCCCTGTGTTTACCTTCACAGACTTTTCCTTTCTCCTAACCTCTGGGATGTTTGTGGTTTCTTCAGGTAAGTTTTCCACCCCTTCACCTGTGTCATATAACCGACCTCCTAACATGGTGAATACTTCCGGAGGAAGCAACACATCCTCTGCCAGCGATTCTGCAACTGCACACAAAATCTCTTGATGTGTAACATTGGCACTTTCTCCTACAGTAATACTCAGTGGAATGCTTACCAAAGGGCATTTAACAGCTGGACCAAATATACCTTTCAAATATATACTAGATCCTTCCTTCAGTTGGAGACTTTTGGTTAACTCTTTCTTAACCACCGTAATTTCTGTTCCTGAATCAACGAGGGCCTTTCCTATTGTTCCATTTACACTAATAGGAACCCTTTTCAACTCACACAGCTTATAGTCGTTTACATCCCCTGACTTCCTCAAAGGATCCACACGAGCTACCACAACTTTGTCCTCTAGGATATCATTATCCTGATCTTTCTTTACCCAGTTTACCCTGGCTTTATCCTTTTCCTCATTTCTGTTATACTGCCTAGAACCTTTAATCTGAGGACAGTGCCTTTTAAAATGTGAAGCTGAACCACATACAAAACATGTTAAACCTTTAACGTTCCCTGTGGTTTTCCCTATGGTTTCTGACGTATGCCGACTGCCTCGTCTTTCTTCGACCTTAGGTTTCTCACCTACTGCCTGATTTAAAATCTTAGTTTCACAAGCTTCCCTACGTACGTTGTAGGACTTCCCTTTAGCCGCAAAGAATATGTCACACTCCTTTCCAAGCTCTCTTGGCTTGAACCACGAGTCTCCCTGCCTTATACCTATGTGTACTGCAGTTTCCGTATCAAGGGTCTGGTAGATTTTGTCCGCTACCACCAACTGATTAAGACCTTCAAAGTCTGTCACCCCCCTTGATTTCACATAATTTTCCCACATGGCAGTAACTCTAGTAGAAAACTGGCCAAAGGTCTCTTCTGAACTTCGTCTTGCCTTTCTGAAATTCTCCAGGCATACCTGAGGTGAAGGTTTAAATTCTTTCAACACAGTTTCCTTTATTTCCTCATAATTCCCATACTTATCCTCGCTTATCAATGTTAATAAATTTGCCGCTTTATCTCCCAAAAGGTAAATCAGAATTTTGGCCTTATACTCATCAGGGACACTTTCATTGACATAAGCTCTTTCTAAACTGGAGAAGAAATAGTCCCAGCCATCTGCTTTACAGGAACCTTTACTGTCAATAATCTGATTGTCCTCGTTAACTCTTCTACTGATCTTTCCTTCCCATTCTCCCCCCGTTCGGGTGTAGTACTCCTATTCGAGTAACGAGCCTGGCAATCTACCTTATACTTCTCAATGGCAATCCTCTCCTCTGCCTCTCTATCTGTAATGATAACACTCAGAAGATCCTTTGCTACTTGCTCCTCATAGCTTTCACTAGCAAGAATCTTTTCCCTCAAGTCCAAAATCCTAAATGTAGGCAACACTTCAACACCAAACTCTTGTGCAAGGGCGACTAGATCAGCCTTTCTAGATTTGGCCAAAAATGACATTATGCGACTTTATGTTCAACTTAATTAAAATAACAGAAAATTAAAACTAAATTTCCTTACATAAAATTATACATTAAGTTAAATCCTTAACTGCTGTTGAATCATAAACACATAGGTATCTGCATTAAATATGCACAACATCCAAATACTCAATAAATAAAAAAAACATGTATGTTTATATATAAGCATTTGAAAATTAATGCAATCATATCTCATAAATAAAACACAAGCATTACTTAAATTAATGATCATTCACTCATATAATAAAAGATAAATGCACTTGCAAGGTAATTCAAGTCTCATATGATAATCACACTGATAATTTTTGTCTTATAAAATACTTGTTCAAGTGTACCTTTACATTAACAGCAAATTTTTCATAAACACAAAAACATAAATAAATCACTTAACGAGAGAACCTGGTAGAAGATAACTATTCCACTTAATAAGCTTCGCAGCATTCGTAAGGAATTCACTTGAGCTTTTTCCGAGTCGACAAATATACATCCGACCAGCTGCCACCACTGTCATATAATCGATCCTTTGATCAATTCATCTTTGTCGGTTCGTTTTCCATCCACTTATGAATGTTATTAGTCAACTCTATTTGCAGGAAATAAACTGGGACACTTATGCAGGTTTAACAATAACATGAGCTATATTTTAATTTTGTAAATACAGTTTAACTTTTCACAAAGTATTGCTTTTATTCACATTTACATCAAACGCACAAGTAATACATTGCATCTCTCAGCTCTTAACAAAAAAAAGCAAGCTAACTTTTCTCTCGGAATACAGTCAAAACTAATTTCAAATTTTTTTTTCACGAGCATGCCGTTCTTCTCGCATCAAGCACGTTTTTTCTTCTCGTTGCCAGATTTTCCCCTCTCCTTTCAGATAAACTGTTTATTCACACGAGCATGCCGTCCTTCTCGCATCAAGCACGCTTCTTCTTTTCGTTGCCAGATATTCTTCTCTCTCCTTTCAGCTATAAGTCGTTGGCTTTCAGCTATAAGTCGTTGGCTTTCAGCTATAAGTCTGTTCTTCCGGCAGGTTTGGTCTGTAGCATAGAGTATGACAGTACTTAAAGTAGATTTTCTATTTAATAGAGGCCGCAAGGCCATTTTTGCAGCTGTGGCTTTTCAGAGAGAATATTCCACTTGATTTTTAAAAAGTAATTGTTAATCGAAATATATTCCAAGATATTTAATATTTGAGACTTCATTAACTGGCTGGTTATTAATTTTAATATTCATTTGAATAGGAGTATTTTTTGGTATCTTCGGATGATTAATACTTGAGTCTTTGAGGGATTAACTTTAATTTTCCAAATATTATAGTAGTGGGTTATTTGATTAACTGCAAGTTCCAGTTTGTCGGCTGTTAATTGTGGCTTTAAGGATTTAGTGACTATTGCAGTGTCATCAGCAAACTTGAAAACTTCAGAGTTAAGAGGAATTGCCATATCGTTAATGTAGATGTTGAAAAGGAGTGGACCTAAAACACTGCCTTGTACGACGGCGCTTTTAATTTTCTTCTTACTAGAGGTGCATCTGTTATCTTTCACTTGAAAACATCTTCCTTTTAAAAAGGATTTCAATAATTTGATAAAGTTGATAGGCAGTCGAGCAAGGTATAGCTTGTAGAGTAAACCCTCATGCCATACCTTGTCGAAAGCTTTCTCTAAATCTATGAAGCAGCTGGCTGTTGTATTCTTTTTGGAAATTGCTTCTGCCATGTATTCAGTTACGTTCAAAAGTTGGTGCAGGGTGCTATGCTCCTTTCTGAATCCGAATTGTTCTTTTTTGATGATATTATTGATATCCAGATGGGTAGTCAGATGTTTAACAAGTACTGTGAGTATTGCGTGTTTCGATTGCCCGGGGAAGTAGTTAAGACGAATGAAAGTGTTGATGATGTTGGTGAGCAGAACCGTGTATCTATGGGGGAGAATCTTAAGGATTTTGTTTGTTATACCATCATAGCCAGGAGCTTTTCGAGTCTTGAGGTTACTTATGATCTTTTTGATGTCTGCAGGGGTGGAAAAGGGAAGCCGTGTGAAGCTATTAAGCTGGTTAATAAATTTTTTACCTCATTTTCAGTCTCTTCGTCTTGGTAATTGTGGGTGGTAAAAGTGGTTTCAAAATGCTCAGCTAATGCTTCTGCCATGTCAATATCCGAATGAGCTGTCCTTGAGCCTGCATTGATGGGTCCGAAAGTAGTGTTGGCTTTTCTGAGTGATTTAGCAATTTTCCATACGGTATCTTGGTTTATGGCCATAGACTCTAAAAGTAGTTCCCAATTATTTGATTTATATTCGCTCATAAGATTTTTAATTTGCCTAATTTTCCTGTTTAAAATATTTTTGATTCTGGGGTCTGCTGTGATCCTCCATAATTTGGCTGTTCTATTTTTATCTTTAATTTTGTTCAAGATATCTTCGGGCAGCTTAGGTTTTTTTGTAGTCTTCATATTTGGTGGCGTGATAAAGGGCAGTGTTTACGCTTCTTGTAATTTGAAGCTCAATATCAGCAATGTTGGATAAAGCCGGGCGTGCTGGTAGTTTTTCTAGTGTGATCATTATAGGTGATATTATTATTGGGTGCGCTGTAAATTGAGATAAAAATAATAGGTTCATCTGTGTGCGAGTGTACTATTATTGCACAACATTCTAAGTTAGTAATTCCTGTTATGCTGTAGCTGGTAGCTTGAATGTGCGTCTTCGTAAGTATCATGGTACCCCCTCCACGATTGTATCTTCGGTCCGATCTGAAAGTATTGTATCCTTGCAGCTTAAATTTGTTGGCAGCACGTAGATGTGTCTCATTGATAAGAAAAATATCTATGTCATGTTTCGCGGTGAATTCTGAATCTTGCGCGGTCCACCATTGCTGAATTCAGTTGAGCGGTAAGATAGAAATATAGTAATTAATTATCACTTGGAGTATCAAGTTCCGCTTGTTCTTCTAGTTTATAAAATTTTTTAAATTTTTTAAAATTTGGTCTATTTTTGATAATTTCTTCAGGAGAGTGGAAGCTTCTGCACCAGTAAATATTACTTTGCTAGGTAGATGGAATTCTGGATTTGTGACATCAACCTTTAATAAATCATTATAAGATGTGCACTCTATATTTTCTGGCTTCATAAAAAAAGAGAAAAAATTTTGCCATCAATTTATAAATACTGGAATGTATTAAATGAAGCATTGGTTTTTTTGTTTCAAATAATTTAATATATGTGTTGAACTCTGGTAATACTGCTGAATATAATGCCATATGCAATAAAGTTTTGTTTTGCATAACAAATAACCCATTTAGTATTCTTTTTTTCCGAGCTAAAGCATCCTTTGTGAGTTGTTGGGAATGCAAGCAAGAATACACCCCTTCAACAATTTTTTTCTGAGCTGCAGAAATATTTCTTTTATTGTATACAGTTTCAACATAAGAAAAATAATCCCCTTTATCAGTTTTATCCAAGTAGTGAAAATAAAATGCAATAAGAGCATCCCACAGATCTTTGATTCTTTCTAAAACACATAAAATGTACACCCACCTATGGTCTGGTCTCTTCAAGGGCTTAAGTTTTTTAATGGCAAGGGATTCACAGATTTTGAAAAAATTTTCTCTTTTACTGCAGCTTTTCATATCAAAATAGATGTCATCAAACAAATCTTCTAAGTATCTATCAAAACATGAAGCAAATTTTTTTGCACAGTTATTAGCTGTGTGACATGTGTCACCATCAATATCTAATAAGTGGGGTGCTTTGTTTGATCGTAGTCTGGTTTCAACACCCTTTTTTTTTTCCACGCATGGTGTTACATGAGTCCATTAATACACTAATTAAGTTTGCCCATGGAATATTATTATCTTCAATAGTATTAACAACTGCTTTAAAAACAGCTTCTGAATTGCAAGATTCCATCTTTAGAGATGCAAAATGATGAACTACAACTTCATTTTGATTGTTGTCATAAAACTGCACCAATATTGCCAGTATACTTTCTTGAGCATTGCTAGTACTTTCATCCAAATTTAGAGAAAATGGAGTCTCCTTTAAAGTTTTAATGATATTTTCCTTAATAGTTTTTGCGAGCCCATATTTCATCTTATAACATGCAGTAGTCCTGGACATTTCCAACGAGTTTAGTGCCGTCTGATCGCGGCTCAACTGTTTGCAGAGTTCAATTAAATTGGGAGCTACATTGAAAGAAAGAGAATTCTCGGCGATAAACGAAGTTATTAATACCTCTTGGCGTGCTTTTCTTGTCACTATATCCAATGGCCGAGCATCAGTCTCCAGTAAGTCATCAGTATTTTTTGAATTAGCATAATTACTTAAAGTCATTGAATGTCTAATGCACTTTGAATATTTTATGTGCGTCACAGTTTTAGAATGATTTGTGAAAGCCTTGAATCCTTCCCCACCATACTTCAGCAGTGAGTTACAAAAAACACAATATGCTTGTCCAGCAACATTTATTTTCTTGCACCATGTGCCGATGGTATCCCCATTACCATCTCTCCGTTCAATCCAATTCCACCTAAATGCATTCCGGACACCTTCTTCTAATTGTATAATATCACTATTTATATCGAGAAATTTCATAGTGAAATTCTCTTGCGTACATAAATAAAAAAAATATTTCAATAAACGAAACGAAAAATTTACACGTGCATCAATAAATGAAACGAAAATTTTACACAGCGGAGAAAAAAAAGTTGAGAAGCGATCAATGACAAATAGCTAATACGGCGAAAAATCCCCCTTCTCTACTTATTGGCGCCACGCCAGGAGAGATAAGACCTTTGAACCCAGAGTCACGTGATCGCACATCTGGTCGAACGAAGAAGTCTCTCCCTTTTTTTTGCCGCGCCTACTTGCCGAAAAGAATCCAGAAGAGAATGTCCGAGAACCGGGGGAATGAGTCATAACTCGCAATAAGGAAAGAACAAAAAAGAAGTTTTTTCCCCCCTTTTCACGCATTATCACTGCCTTT